TTACTAACAACTTTCAGGAAATATCCCCAAATAAATCATTGAACTATTCAACTATTCTACATTAATCAACAAATTCTGAAATTTTATAATTTAATCATTAACCCGTAATTTGGGATGTTACACAAACAGAAACAACTATATGTAGGGATAAGCAAAATTGATTCGTAAAAATCGATTTTTTACTCAACTTAATATAATTTCATTAGATTTGTAATTTTATAAATTTGATTTGAATCAAAAGAAATTCAAATAAAATTTGAGCTATAACATAAAACTTGAATAATATAATTTTTTAATAATTAATAGATTATTTTTTAAATTCTAGTTGAGTCCATCAACTTTATGTGAATTTCATATGAAAAATTATAAAAAAAAATATATGTGTATCATTTATGATTATAAAAAATCATTTAAACTAAAATAAGCTAATATTATAAATATTTCAAATTAAATCTAAATATTAACTCGAACACTAAATTTAAGCTTGAAATTCACAAACATAACCCAATAAAATTTAAATAATAAAATTATACTCATCAAATTCACTAACTTAAAATTATTTAACTCAAACTCCATAATAAGCTCACCCTATCTAAACGAGAAGGGTAAAGTATAGTAATGGTCACTGAACATTTCTGAAGCTTTCATTTAGGTCTCTCAACTTTTAAAACTTGCAATACAGTCCCCTAACATTTATTCCGTTTGCAATATGGTCCCCCAACTTAAACCACTGTTAGAAAATTAGGGTAAATTATATAATCGATCATTAAACTTTTCAGACACTTGAATTTAGGTCTCCCAACTTTTAAAACTTGTAAAACAATCCTTAATTTCATTATAAACCCCAATTTCTAAAGTAATTCAATTTCCTTCTAAACCATTGATTCTACTAAATCATAAATGATCACTGTATGAGCAAATTCAGGTGAATCATAAATGATCGCACTGTAAAGCACTGAAGGGTTAGGTACTCAAATCTGATAAAAAAAATAGCATGCAAGAACATAGTGGTACTTAAATCATAATGCTCCAAATGAGTGTTCCGAATTTCATATAGTCAAAAGTTGAAGAAATGAGCAGAGTTTATGGGAAGTTGAAATACCGAATAGAGTGCTTCCATTTTGCTATTCGGGATGTTTAATCAATGCATATTGTTATTCAAAATTGATATAAATAGTTAAACAAACCTCAAATTTATATTGAAATAAATGTTGTCAAATAGTAAATTCATGTTCAAAATTTCAAAACACCTTAATTTCATTCTAAACCCTAAATTCCAAAATAATTCAATTATATTCTAAACCTTAAATTGAAGTATTTTAGAATTTAGGGTTTAAAATTTAATTGAATTATTTTGGAATTTAGGGTTTAGAATGAAATTGAATTACTTTGGAAATTGGGGTTTAGAATGAAATTGAGGAATATTTTACAAGTTTTAAAAGTTGGGAGACCTAAATTCAAGTGCCCAAAAAGTTCAATGACCGTTACCCTAATTTTCTAATAGTGGTTTAAGTTGAGGGACCATATTGCAAACAGAATAAATGTTGGGGGACTGTATTGCAAGTTTTAAAAGTTGAGGGACCTAAATGCAAACTTCAGAAATGTTCAGTGACCATTACTATACTTTACCCAAACGAGAAATATAAACATTTACAACTGGACACCACCGATGATTTTGACAAGACCGTGTGCTGTTCTCACTATCGATTATTGAATGTGTAAAATGAGATTGCCATACATCTGAGAGGAACATCAATGGGTTGCTCGGCTCTTAACTCGTTCTGGGCGGTGATTTCATTAATCCGACCCAAAGTCTGCTCATCGGCACCGAATTCCCGAACAATTCCGCCAAAGTACTGTTCGGCTTCACCACGTGATCGTAATGCACCACTCTCTGCCCGTCGACGTCGTCGCAACTACAAGGCAACGGGATTTGCAGTCTCTGTCATAATATAAAATAGCGGTTGCCGTGTCGTGGTTACTGATGCTACGGACATTACGTAACGTGTTGCGGCTGTCACAAACGTGATTTCTTATAAAAAATCACAATACTTCTAAAATATTTTATCACGTTAATATTACGTCGATGACCTTCAAAATAATTACGATACGATAAAACACTGCATTGAGGCCGCAATTTAATACCATGGTCTCTGCCCGACTTCTATCAAATTGGGGTCCAAAATATTGTTGGCGACAGCGATTTCCCGGAACAGAACCAACCTCGAGAAAACTTCGGCCGCTATGTGGAAAAGTCCGTCGCCCGGTTGAACCGTGTAGGTCGGACCGCCGGTGGAGGTTCCGGTCCGGTGTAACAAACGCAATTGATGGGGACCCTGATGACTCGTTGTGCGGGTACAGAGAAGCTGCCAGGAGTGGAGGGAGGCAAGTTGTTGGCTCCAAGGAGGCTCGGTAAGCTCGTCACGTTGAAAAGCCTTTAAATGGCGCCGAGGTTGGTGTTGTTGACGGTGGTTTACCCGACAAGGGCACGGCATGAATTTGGGGAGTTGCATCTGAAGGGTTGAGCTATGGAGTGGTCCATTGAGAAAGCTAACAACAACACAGAAATTGTAATAAACAGGCTAGAGAAATCCATGTTTCTTTTTCCTCACGCAGATTAAAAAACCGGATGATCAGAGAAGAAGAAGATGAGGGGAAATTGGGTTGAGTGAGGAGATTTTTCTATGTTAGAATTAGTACAAATAAATGGATTTCAGACAAGGATGTAACTAGTCGCCATTGTTGTATTTAGTATTTATGCCATTACCCAGTCAACGCGTTCTTTGCAATTCTATATTAGCATCTTGTAGGGCCTAACCTCATTTATACAATTTGCAACTTGGGGTTTACTTTGATTAATCAGTCAACAACAATTTGAAGTTCCAAATGACCATCAGTTGAGTCTTAATAAAAAGTTTCAGATTACATTTTCACATCGGTTGATTGATTTACTGATATAAAACATTATATTTTTTTAAATAAAATTAAAATTTTAGTATGGTGTTTGCAAATAGAGTAAATTATATTAGAAGAGTGATTCCGTAATAGACTTTTTAAAAAATTCGATTTAGATTAATTGGTTAATAGGCTAAATATCAATGATTAATTAAAAGAATAAAATTTAAAATAAATTATGTTAGATCATAAAAAACAAAAAAATGATATAATTCTGATCTTTCCCGTTAGTACACAAATATTTCTTGTAAGAGTATTGGCAGCATCTGGGTCAATGGACTTGTAATGAAATTCTTAAATGATAAGATGAATCCAGTGCACTTGAGCTCTTTCAAATTGGTAGTAGTTGGACCGCAAAATTCAATTTATTATGTGGTTATGAATTATAAGTTTTAAGTACAAAAATTATAGCCTATGCTCAGAGGAAGAGTTCTGCTAGATAATGTTTCTTTTTATAAATATTTGACAATTCAAATTTTATTTAGTTGTATACCCCTCATTTAAGTAAATAATTGTTTGTAAAAAAATAAATAATTGTTAATTCATTTAAATAAATAATAATTTCATAAATAAAAGGCACGACTATTGTTAAAAACAACCAAAGAAATTATTATGTGAAAAATATTATAATATATAAATTATTTTCACAATCTCGATACCTCAAGTACACCGGAGAAAAATACTTAACTACACATCCAATCACTTATTTTATTTTTTTTGGATAAGAGACAACAGCAATGGGAGTTAGATAGTCACCACCCTACAATAAGAGGACCAAAAGCATCTCTATGAACAATAGAAATAAGCTCAGGAGGAGGCGAGCCAAAAAGACGAGTGGTGAAAGACGGAGGGTGCGGTGGTTCTGCTAAACCATTGGCTAGCATGTTGCTTTCACGAGGGGTCCAAGCGATAGCAGTAACCCAGCAACGATCTCTCAAATGTTGGATCGAACGAACCAACGGCAATGAGCTTGGGGTGACCTCAGCATTTTGAACAAGGTTAGTGGCTTCCAAGCAATCCGAATAGACCTGAAGGAGTTCAAATCCGTGTGTCCAAGCTACTTGTAAAACTAGTAGCAGAGTCCTTAGCTCTGCGTGAAGGAACACATCCAAACACTTTAATATAATAGAATAAAGGGAAAATTAAAAGTCAAATAAACATTTGACTTGATACATCTTGAAACCGAGGTCTTAAGTTCTTTATATAGCCGTAAAGTCTCAGCTTCATATATTTTTTCGAGCCATTTGAGATTATTTCTCTACTCAAATTTCTCATTTTACTCAATATTCTAATAAATTTAAATACGATTACACGATTGTGATGTATTTAGATAATCGTCATATTTGTGGGTGTCGTTGAATTAAATATAATATTATTTAATTTTAAAAATTGAGAATTGATGTAATTATACACATAATTATACTCTTCAGTTTTATTATTAATATTATTTTAATATTTAAATTTAAATAATTATAATTTGAATTATTAAATATGACATGAGAAAGAATTTGAGGTTATATAACTTCTTATTGTGTATACTAAAGACTATTGCAAAAATTAATTATGAAAAATGGATAAACTCTTTTGACAATTTCTCATTTAAATCCCCTTTACATTAAAGTTTGACTCAAACTAATCAAATAATTTTAGTGATAAAAATAAATGTTATTATTTGATTCCGTTGATTTTTGAAATGTATTTAATGTTTTAATATTTAATCAAATATGCTCAAAACGACCTCGTTTCGGATAAATAAATAAATGTTTACAGACCGCACGCGTAAAAGAACATGTTTGCAATAGTCGTCAATCAGTCTGTGGGGAAGATGACCTGGCTTCGCTTTCAGTAATGAAATTCATGCACGCGCTTCATGGTGGCATTGGCGTCAGATTGCAGAAACAGAAATTGTTAGAGACACGTGGAATCAGTGAGCGACAAAGATTTGCAGGTATTTTATGCGCAGACACTCCTACGGTACATTCTTCGAGGTCCACAAAGATTTTTATGATTTCATGAAATTCTCAGGAAATTAATTATATAAAGGAAAGCTGTAGTTGAAAAAAGTTACAGGAAACTATTGCTCAGATGCTGATGCCGAAGCTGAAGAATCTGAAGCAGCTTATATTTTCCGTGAAAATGAAGAAAAGGAAGAAGGAACGTAACAACCACCTTCTTCAAGGCTCCAATGACTTGTTCATCGGACTTATCGTCATTCTATGTCGCAAGCGCCATCGTGTCTTCTCCTTCATCTCCGCCGTCTCCGGTTGTCTACTCCTCTTACTCTTCGCCTTCTCCGTTCTCACTCCTCCTCCCACCGCCACCAATAACTTCCTTTCGCACCGCTTCTCCGTACGTTGCATTTCTCGTTTTCCGTTTCTGTTACTGTTGTTTCCCATGTGTTTGATGTCTTAAAGTTTGAAAAAGATATTATGTTATATTATATTATTATATTATATATTATATTATATTATATTATATTATATTATTATATTATATTATTATATTATATTATTATATTATATATTATATTATATTATATTATATTATATTATATTTATATTATATTATATTATATTATATTATATTATATTATATTATATTATATTATGATTCGTTTTGTATTTTATTTAGGCGGTGAGGAAAACACAGGTTGAGGAGTCCAATTTGGATAAGGTGTTTAAAGTTCCGGTACGATTTTTTCCCTCTCTTTTAATTGATAACTTTTTTGTATCTTATAAACCTGTTATGATTAATTGATATTCTGTTGTTAAGGCAAGTGGAGGAAATTTAGGTCGTGATTTATGGAGTTCGAGTCAATCAAAGTTCTACTATGGATGCAGTAACGCATCTAAGAGTTTTCAATGTAAAGTATTCCAAATTTGAATCTATATTTTACAGTTCAATAATACTTTTTAAAAATTTGTTTGTATGTATTTTTCGGCTTACTTACGCTACCAATTTGATGGTTAGCTACGTTGTCTTTGTTTCAGCTGCTGATATGAAAACACATCCCAACCGATACTTGATGATCGCTACCAGTGGCGGGCTAAATCAACAGAGAACTGGGGTAAGTTTTCTGAAACAGACATTTTACAGAGCAGCTGCTGCGCTGCATATTTTGTTATTTGAATTGAGAACTAATGTTAGATTTTTCGTGTGTTAATGGTTATCTATGTTTCCCGGACCTTTTCTCCATAAAATAATCATGCCCGATACATGTGTCAATACATGTTTGAACAAGAGAGCGAGCGTAGAAAAGTTGCAAAAATCATAAATGAATATTTTTGGTGCTGATAATACTATTGTGGTTTTTTATGGCAACAGATAATAGACTCTGTTGTTGTAGCATATATTTTGAATGCAACTCTGATCATACCCAAGCTGGATCAACATTCTTACTGGAAAGATACCAGGTCTATTTTATATTCATTTTTAATCCAAAATGCATGGGACAGTTTATACTTCATGTTATTTACATACTTTTTTTTGAGAGATTAATGTTATTTACATACATTTATTTGTGATGGGGGTGTTTGATGCAGTGATTTTGCTGAAATATTCAATGTCGACTTGTTCATTTCATCTCTCGAGAGAGATGTTGAGATGATCAAAGAATTACCAAGAAATGTAGGTAAAGCTTGGGTTCCTCGTAGTATGCGTGTTCCGAGGAAGTGCAATTTAAAATGCTACCAGACTCTTGTTCTACCTGTTCTAAATAACAGACATGTAAGCTATATATTTTTGCTGAAAACAGAACAAAATAAAACCCTTTTGTGTATCATGGTAATTGTTTTAATTTTACGTCCTGAAGTATTCATGTTACACTTACATATTGTTTTAAGACATCATCTTTCCATATTTTAAACTAGTTGTAATGATCTATCTCTTGATGGTTTTCTTGGGCTTAACACAAGCATGTTTTCAAAACTTATTTTTAACTATTTTTTTCTGTTGCAGGTAGTTGAGCTTACAAAGTTTGATTATAGGCTTTCAAATAGGTTGGAAACTGATTTACAAAAGCTCAGATGCAGGGTGAACTACCATGCTCTAAGATTCACAGATCCCATTCTTGAAATGGGTAAACTCTTGATTGAAAGGATGAGGATGAAAGCCAAGCATTTTATTGCCTTGCACTTGAGGTAAAGCGCACTCTGTTGCTAATCATATTGTCTTTAGGTATTAGAGCACTTGAAAGAAATTTGGCTGCTACAAGGACTTTACATACCATTTGCCATAGGTTCGAACCTGATATGCTCGCATTTTCTGGATGTTATTACGGGGGAGGAGAAAAAGAAAGGGGGGAACTCGGAGCAATCCGGAAGAGATGGGAAACTTTACATGTAAGACCAAGCAAATTGTTGAATACACACACCTTAAGACTGAAAAGAACTTTTGAACATGTTTATTTTGGTATGAAATGCAGGTGCGTAATCCTGAAAAGGTGAGAAGGCATGGAAGATGCCCGCTGACTCCAGAGGAAATTGGTCTAATGCTAAGAGCATTGGGTTTTGGCAGTGACGTTCACATTTATGTGGCATCAGGTGAAGTATATGGAGGTGAAGAGACATTAGCCCCTCTGAAAGCACTCTTCCCTAATTTCCATTCAAAAGAGACTATAGCCACCAAGGAGGAGTTGGCACCATTTTCGGCCTTTTCAGGTCGTCTGGCCGCACTCGATTATATTGTCTGCGATGAAAGTGATGTTTTCGTCACAAACAATAATGGAAACATGGCAAGAATTTTAGCCGGTCGAAGGTATGTAGCTCCTTTACATGGGTTTAGCTTGTTCTTGTTCGTAAACCACATCGATAGCACATTCGACCAACATTTGTCTATTGCAGGAGATACTTTGGGCACAGATCAACAATTCGACCAAACGCCAAGAAACTGTATAAACTGTTCTTGGACCGAAATAATATGACATGGGACGAGTTTGCCTCCAAGGTTCGAACTTATCAGATCGGCTTCATGGGGGAACCAAAAGAGGTGAAACCTGGTAGGGGCGAGTTTCATGAAAATCCAGATAGCTGCATATGTGAGGCCAAGAGTCTTAAATCTAGTCAAGATCAAACTCCTAAAGACTATGAAAATAGTAAAGGGAGGAAGGATGGTGTTGAAGTGAGTTATGAACAAGAACAGTCTGCTGAAGAGGATCACGATTGGACCGACATCAATTATTTAGATACCGGTGGTTTATTCAAGGAGTTGCCTAATGCGTATAGTAGTGTGTTAATAAAACATGGACAGCCTGAAGTGGAAGCCTTCTTTTCAGACCAAAATGAAGGCTGACAGGTTGGGTTTTCTTTAAATTCTTTTGGTTCCTTCTACAATCATACATTGGAATTGTTTTCTACTATTCTAATCTAACATGAAGGGATCGTAAAGCAGTCTGTACATAAAAGGAAATGGCTTGGGAATGACAAATATTGAAGTTGGGACATCCAGTTTTTGTAAACGTTAGGTACATAATTTTCTGCTAAACATTAAGTGTTACTTGTAATGATCTAATTAATTGAAAAATACCACACCGATCAGTTTAAGATTTTTTTTTAAAAATAGAAATTAATATAGAAAATATTTTTAATTCAATTATCAATTTAAAAAAACCATCAAATTTATGTATCGATTTATATAATACGGTCATATATATCTTTTTAAAAATAGATTTTCATTCCTTTTCAAATTATTTTATGCTGATGTGTACATGTAATATTAGTGTTCATACTAAAAATGTAAACTAATAATATAATTTTAACATATTAAACTATCAGTTCATCTAACATGATGAGACATTAAGATTCTTTTAAATAGATCAGAAATTTCAATTCTAATTTTATAAATAGAACAAATTAAGTTGAAAAAAACATTTTATAATGAATATTTATAATATTTTATTCAGATCAATCGATCAATAATTTAGATATCAATAATTATATAAAAACATATCAATTTATTCTTAATTAAATGTAATAGATTCAATAATGTATTGATAAAGAAAACTTGATAGTTATTCAATGTAATTAATAAACCCATCAAACCTTGTTGATTTCATGCCTAGATTTTGCTTTCCATGTAATGATACTTGATAGAGAAAACTCTTATTTCTTAGCTATGGGGGTTAATAAAGTAGGGAGTAATGATTGGAATGGTGGCCAGAAGTGGGTCATTCCAAACACCATCAATGCTCTATTTATCTTCAATCGGCATCTCATTTGAAGCATTGGTTTGGGCCCCAACTGCACATTTGCAGATTTTCCTCTGATCCTACCAAATTCACTTATAAGATTACCACTGAATATAAGATTATCACTGAGAATAAAAAATTATCAGGGAGAATAAAAAATTACCATGGAATATGATTACTGAGAATGTTGTATTTTGTGTTTGGTTGGTTTAACAGGAATGTAAAATTACCGTGTTTGGTTAAAGGAATAAAAAATTATTGGAATGTATATTTGACCAAATTGTCCTTATTATATATTTGTATAATATTACAAATTGTAAAATATTTATATATTTTCTTTAAAAATTAAATTCATAATATTTATATACTTTTTTTTACAAAATTAAAAATATAAAAAAGGTTTAATGAAAGGGTAAAATTTTTTTTAACCATTGAACTTCATATAAAATTTTAATTATAGAATTTTTTTATAAATCTAAAATAATTTAAGGATAAATTTGTAATTTAACCTTCGTAGAATTTTTATTATTCAATGACAGAAGAAGGATATTTTTGAAAATAAAAATAAAAATTTAAGGGCATTTTAATCCAAAACGCCGGTAATGTTACAATACCTAAGGGAAAGGAGATAATGACATTCCCGGTAATATACTCAAAAAAATCTACTATTGGTAATAAAACATTACCGGGAATGAGATTCTCGGCCAAACAAACATGAGAATATGAGATTCTCATCCCATGAGAATTTCACAATCCTTGAACCAAATACCCCTAAAAGGATAAGCCACGTCAAAATTATCATTATTATTGTTATCACTACTATTATTATTATAACTATAAAATTATTACTGTTATAATAGAAAATTAATATTGAAATGTGCAATCTATGGGAATAATTTGCAGTGGCAACTGTTTTCATGAGGGGCTCAAGAAAAACTAGAGAAATAATACATGCAGTAAAAATATTTTGAAAAAAATCGATAGTTGAAAATTATTTTAGGATTTAGATTATTTGTTATAGTACACTTGAAAAATATTTTAAAAAATAGGGGTTGTTGATAATTTTATGAAATTTTAAAAATTAGAGGTCTCAATTATAAATGTAGAAAGGAGAATTAAAAAAATTAAGGGTCTTAATTATAAAGGTAAAAAGTTGAGATTAAAAAAATTAGGAGTCTCAATTATAAAAGTAAGAAAACATGATTGAAAAAAATTAAAGACCTCAATTATATAAATAAAAAATGAGATTTAAAAAATATTAGAAATCTCAATTTTAAAGATAAAAAGTATGATTATAAAAATAAGGATAGAGAGATAAAACGAGACCTCTGAGCAATTGTTTAGGGTACTCTTCCTATTAGCATACTTCGTCAAATATTAATAAATTTTAAGTGTTATATTATTTATACTATTAAACTTGTAATTACTTTAGTTAAATTATTAAATTTTATTTTAATTATATCTTTTGATCATTAATCCAATAACAATATGACGATGTGAACCACCACTGCCGATGTTAAATTATAACCCAAGTTGATTGATTGAATTGAATATGAAAGGACAGTTAATAAACGAAGTGAACTCTAGACACCCTTAATATATGGAAAGAAAAGGGTATGGGTGTGTTTTTATGAAGGGAATGTACAAAGTAAAATAAACAAAAGGTGTTGAATGCTTTTGAGGCAATTTGGTGGGTGGGACAATGTGCATATTCATATTCTCCTTTTGATTCCCTCACTTTCAACCATGCTCTCCCTTTTTGCTTTCACTTTTTTATTCTAAACTTCAAATTATACATTGCACCCATTTCTTAGTTCTTTATATAATACATATATCAAAGAAAATATATTTCCTTTTTCTTTTAAAAAAAAGTAATATAATTAAAGGTAAACTATACATTTAGTGCTTAAACTATCATTTTTAAATTTTCATTTATTTCAAAATTATATCTAATATTTCGTTTATGTTTTATTTTGATACCCACTATTAACAATTTAACGGGAATGTTGTATGTGACGTTTTTATGGGTAAATTACATCATTCATCGCTCAATTATATTCTCACTCCTATTTTGATCACTAAAGTTTAAAAATTTTCAATTAACTACTCAAGTTTTAAATTGCACATGTTTTAATCACTCATATTTATTTTATTAATATTTTTTGTGACATGAATTTTTATTATTTTATTATATATAATTTAAACAAAAAAAATAAAATTTGAAAGTTAGAGTGATTAAATTATGAGTAATTTGAAAGTTAAGTAATTAAATTAGAAAAACTTAAACTTCAATTACCAAAATAGGAGTGAGAAGATAGTTGAGCGATTAATGATATAATTTACACATAAAAAGTGCTATGTTGTAACAGTTTCGCTAAGTTTTTAAAGACAATGTACCAAAATGAAATAAAAAGTAAAGATTAGATATGATTTTTGAAACAAGTGAAAGTTTAGATACCAAAATGGGAAATAATAATACTTTAGGAACTAAACGTTCCTATAATTAAAAGTTTTTAATTTGGGATGAATCGTTAATGTATGGAGTAGATAAATTTTTCCTGATAAAACATGAAGCAGTGAACGATTTGATTGCTGATTTTTAGTAGCCTTTTGTAGCACCAAAGCTGTAACATCTCTTGGTGGTTTATTATAGTCTATAGACGAGTTCTTAAATATAAAAAATATTTAAAATATATGATAATTTAAATTTTTTAAAAGAATTGATCGCCTTTTCTATTATCCATCTATAGAATTTTGCTTCATTTCCATGGACAAAATTATATGTATATATATTATCAGTAAAATTAAAATAAAGGGTTAAAAAATTAAAATAAAATATTAGGGTATGATTATTGGATAGGTAAGGAACTATATGATATATATTATATGTATATAATAGCTTACTGAGTTTGTTGGTTAACATTTCCCTTTCTTCAAGTTGATGAAAGGAGGTTAGTTTTGGAGGCAGTGTGTGGTCCATTGTTTGTTGTTTAATGTGGGGTTCTACCAATGGCAATGCCACCTATAATTGAAGCTGCTGACTACATTTCTCTACACGTTAAAAGCAATGTCGTTGGCTACATTTATTTTTGTAACAATAATAATAAGAATTTAAGTCTCCAAAGATATACCTATTTATAAAATTATTTGATATATTATTAATATTTTTTTAAAATTTTATAAATAGAACAAATGGATAGAGCATAAAAGAGTTAGAATTGATGGAAAGAAAAAACTATAAAGAATTACAATCATAGGATCAAATTAAATAAAATATAATATTAAAGGACTAAATTAAAAAATTATTATAAAAAAATAATCAAAGTTACATATATATTTTACATAGGTATTTTATATTGATAGAGGAACGTATGAGTCAAATTTAATAAAAAAAATAGATTTAAATGAATGAAAATTTGAAGAAAGAAAGAAAACATATAAATTTGAGAGACTAAATTATAAAAGAAATAAACATATGAATAAATTTGATAAAATATAGACTTAAAATGAAAAATAAATCTAACAAATAATAAAGTTAAACATAAACTCCCAAAATAATCTAATTACATGCCTAAAAAATTAAAATACATCATTTTAATCAAAATATATGTTAGATGCATATATTGATTAAAAAATTAAATATTTAAATCTAAAATATAATACATTAATAACGTAAATAATTAAAATATATATTTTTAAATGGAACCCAATAGTTTACTCTCAAAGAAATCAAATGTGTTATTTTTTTTAAATGAAAGAAATCAAATGTGTTGGTTCTCAGTAGTATAGTTTTAGAAAGTGAAAATAGTACACAAGTTTTGAAAAAAGAGAGAAGGAAATGGTACAAGAATTTGTTTGATTCGACTGGATTCCACTCTAATACGCTCCAGCAATATACACCGACGAACACAGAAATGAAGTAGGAACCACTGTTTTCTCTCTCTTCTTTCCTACTTTTTTTTTTCATTCTGCTATAACCTGACGAGATACTCCCTGCTGGCAAAGATTCCATCTTTCTCTTCCTTCCTTTCTCCTACCCAAAAATTTTCCTGAGAAACAATCACTGTTATCCCGTTAGTTCGTTACTTTCATGTAAAGCAGTTACTATACTTTGCTGGGTCTTTTTCCTTTTTTCTTTTTTGGTTTTTGGGGAGATATGGGATGTTCTAGTTCGAAGTTAGATGATCTTCCGGCAGTTGCTCTTTGTCGGGAAAGGTGTAGTTTTTTAGAAGAAGCGATTAAGCAACGTTTTGCTTTAGCTGAAGCACACGTTGCTTATACGGTTTCTTTGAAGTTATTTGGGCAGTCTTTGAACAATTTGATCGACCATGATTTCAGAACTTCTTCGGCGGCTTTGCCTCCTTCTCCTCCATCTCCTAATAAGCTTAAAAGTAAAGCGGTGGATCCAGTTCAAGTCGGGTCGAATCCACCCAAGAAAGATGCTGTTTCTCATCACCATTCGCATTCGAATTCCGGGTCTCATCTTCACTTCCATTCTGATTCAGATGACTCTGGCGGGTCTTTGCACCATTCGGGTCATTATTCTCCTTTGCACAACGATGGTGGGGGTCATATTGAGTATTTGCAACCAAATTATCCCAATTATGGTGCTTTTGAAACTGGGTCTTTCCCTGGTGGGTTTATGCATATGAATTTCATGAAGAAGCAGCCAACGCCGTCTATCGTTTATGCACAAAGGCCTGGGAATCCAGAGATATTTTATATGGGTGAATCTTAATCTTCTTATCCTAACTCTTACTTAAGTAATAATAACAACAATCCTAGTTCTAGTTCATATACTTATCCGGGTTACCAAAATTCCAGTGCTTTTAGTTTTAGTAACTATTCTTCTTATTCGGGGCCTGGTTATGAGTCTTCACTGGAACCGTCGCCGACAGAGAAACCGCCGCAGCCTCCACCTTCACCTCCGAGAACTTCAGCTTGGGATTTCTTGAACCCTTTTGGGAATTATGAAAACTACTATCGTCCGTACACGCCGAGTGGGGATTTGAGGGAGGTAAGGGAAGCGGAAGGGATCCCTGATTTGGAAGATGAGAATTATCAACATGAAGTGATTAAAGAAGTGCATGGAGATCAGAAATTTGTTGATAGAGAAGAAGGGTATTCCAAGTCCCCAGTTGAAGATGAAGCATGTAAAGTTGTTGGTAGTGAAGCAGAGGCTTCGCTTTATCAGACCAGGCCGAGTGTTGGGGTAGAAAGTGATAGGGTGGAATATGAGGTTCATGCGGTGGATAAGAAAGTTGTAAGTGATGAGTGCACTGAGGACCTTGGTAAGGGTTCAAAAGGCCCTCCAAGGAATGTTTTGAGGTGGTTAAAGAGATACAGGTTCAGTTTGTTAGAGCTTCTGAGTCAGGGAGTGAAATTGCTGAGTTGCTCGAGGTCGGAACAGTTCCTTATCAGCGTAAACAAGGTAATGATTTTCTTTACATTTACAGGATTATTGTGTTATTGCTTTTGAAATGCCCGTCCAGCTCAGTTGGTAGAGCACAGGTGGGTCAGCTAATTTATATTGTGTTATTGCTTTCATCTGTAATATACATCATATGTTCATTTGTTGATTGGAAAGTTTTGATTTTTGCTATTGTCGGAGCCGTCTTTCGGTTGAGCCCTGGAATTGGGCTTCGACGTGTATTAAATGAATTGGAGTCGTCACCGACCATGTTAAAACGAATTTAGGTGGGTCGGACACCATCTTACCTGATCTGCGCTTTTCCAGAAATTTGTCGGGTTCGGGAGTCGGTTACGGTCAAGGAAGGATTAGCACCCTTGAACCGCCCTTTCGGTACCAATTAATTTTTAGGTTGTCGTTAAATGCGAAAATTAGAAAATTTAAATTGAAATTAAAAACTCGATTCGAATTGCTCACCTTTGATCGATTGAGATTATTACTGAAAAAGACAAAAGATTATTAGATAGAAAAACAAATAAATAAAAATAAAAAAAAATGAAGAAAAATTAAATAAATGAAAAAAAAATTATTTTAAAGGTAATAAAATGGAAACGATACGAAGTGAAAATAGATAATGATAATTAAAAAACATGATGGTAATAAAATAAAATAAGAATTCAAGGGTCAAATTGCAAAAAATGTAACATATAAATGGGGACCGAATTGAGTCAATTGAAAATTCAATGGCCAAATTGCATACGGTGACTGAAACGAATTGCGCTTCAAACCTTGGGGGACGGCGGAAAGAATTAAAGAATCTTCTATTTGCATAATGGTCCCTTATATATATATATACCACCCAGCTTAATTTCATTTCATTTCCTTCATTCTCTAACCAAAGAGAGAACCATCTGTTCTCTCAACTCTCTCTAACCCGGCCAAGGTTCGGCCGCCACCGCCGATGGTCAACCGCCGCTCCGGCCGCCGCCTCTGGCTGCCGGAAAAGATAAAATGCACCTCACATGTTCCTCTCAAAACCGCGAACCCAGAACCGACCTCTAAATCCCCGAAACAAGCCCCAGTAAACGTAGATCTAAAAAAAAAAAAACTTTCGACTTTTTACCCTCTCCGGTGACCGCTCGCTTTCCGACGACGCTCCGGGTGGCTTTCGGTATCCTTCCACGCAACAAAGTTTTGGCTTTGTTATTTTTACCTTAGGATTCGAAAGTCTCTGCCTTTTGGGTTTTTTTGTACTGTGTTTGGCTTCTGGCTTTGTTGTTTCGTGATTTACTTTCTTGTGATAATGACTCTCTGGTTTACTATTGGCCGTTTGTGGGTCTGTGGTGGCTTGGTAATGGTTGATTGTTGTTTTTTTCTGATCTGTTGAGATGGGTTTCTCTTTCGTTGGTTCTGTCTCTTGTTGTGTGGCTCGATTTGTTTACTGTGTGTTCTGTTCTACTGTTGATGTCGTTCCTGTGATCCCCGTCGCCCGTGGGTTTTTATAACCCCCACTGGCCGTTGTGAGTCCCGACGATCTCGGGATCGTGGTTGTTGTGGCCGGTCATCCCGGGATGGGTCAGTCCCGGGGATCTCGGCCGGCCGTTGGCACTGTTGACCGTTTGGCTCCCTGACTGCTTGGTGACTGAAAACTGGGAACCCTGATCTCTTGCTGGGCTAGTTCAGGCCCAAACTTGGACTGGATTCTTGAATCTGGACCTTGCACAAAAATAAATGAGAAATAAATAAATTAAAAGTAAAAATAAATAATAATAATATATATATAAACGTTTTCAAAAACATATAATATATAAATTTTTAAAATGTTTTTAAAAAAACTATATATTATATATATTTTCAAAATGGTTTTTAAAAATTATATATTATATAAATGTTTTCATAACGTTTTCAAAAGTATATATTATATATATTTTAAAACGTTTTCAAAAACTATATATTATATAATTTTCAAAAAATATATTTTCAAAATGGTTTTTTAAAAATTATATATTATATAAATGTTTTCATAACGTTTTCAAAAGTATATATTATATATATTTTAAAAACGTTTTCAAAAACTATATATTATATAATTTTCAAAAAACTATATAATATACATATTTTCAAAAAATGTTTTAAACTATATATTATATATGTATTTTCAAAAACAATTTGCAAACTATATAATATATATGTGTATATATGTATAAAATAAAAAATGTGGACGGAAATTAGTGTCTACAGCTGCCCCTCTTTGTCCTTTTTCGTGGAACGAAAAATAGGACAAAGATAAAAAGACACAAATTTTCGTTCAGTGGGGTTGAAGAAAAACCCCCTGTCGGATTGAGCTGCGGATGATCCCTCCGTCGTGAAGTCAAGTCAATCTTGAAATGATATGGAATTGAATCGGAATGCGACTTCTTGTTGCCCAATTGTAGTCAACCTCGGTCTTTTCCTCAGTTTAAGGACCTTGGTTAAAAATTCGGCTGGAAAATATTTCTTTGACTTCACCATCTGGTTTGACAAGCCCTCGAGCTGATCGAAAAGTCTTTGTTGACAAATAGCTTTTCTCGACTTAAGCTATGTTGCTGGAAAACGATTTTTTATCACTGAGGCACAGTTAACCCAGGTCTTCTTCTGGACTTGAAAATCTCGATTACAGCCGGACAGTAGTGTGATTGAGGTGTTATCGAGCTGATTAGAATCGAACTCGACAGTTTTATTGACAGATAGCCCTTCTTGCATTGAGCTATTCTGTAAGCCTGATTTGCCTCTAAGTTGAATATAATCGAACTCGAAGGTCTTTAGCAGATAGCCCTTCTCAACTTAAGCTATGCTGCAAATGATGTGCCTTGGAGCTGAGCGGAGTCGAACTCGAAGGTCTTTTGGTCACAGATAACCCTTCTAGCCTTGAGTTATGCTGTAAATGATATGCCGTTGAGCTGAGCGTAGTCGAACTCAAAGGTCTTTTGTTGGCAGACAACCCTTCTAGACTTAAGTTGTATTGCAAATGATATGCCTTGGAGCTGAGCGTAGTCGAACTCGAAGGTCTTTTGTTGGCAGATAACCCTTCTAGACTTAAGTTGTATTGCAAATGATATGCCTTGGAGCTGAGCGTAGTCGAACTCGAAGGTCTTTTGTTGGTAGATAACCCTTCTCGACTTAAGTTATGCTGCAAATGATGTGCCCCCGAAGCTGAGTGTAATCGAACTTGGGGGTCTTTGGCAGATAGCCCTTCTCGACTTAAGCTATACTGCAAATGATGTGCCTTGGAGCTGAGCGTAGTCGAACTCAAAGGTCTTTGCTAACAGATAACCCTTCTAGCCTTGAGTTATGTTGTAAATGTTATGCCCTTAAAGCTGAGTGTAATCGAACTTAAGGGTCTTTGGCAGATAGCCCTTCTCGACTTAAGCTATTCTGCAAATGATGTGCCTAGGAGCTGAGCGTAGTCGAACTCAAAGGTCTTTGCTAACAGATAACCCTTCTAGCCTTGAGTTACGCTGTAAATGTTATGCCCTTGAAGCTGAGTGTAATCGAACTTAAGGGTCTTTGGCAGATAGCCCTTCTCGACTTAAGCTATTCTATAAATGATGTGCCTAGGAGCTGAGCGTAGTCGAACTCAAAGGTCTTGGTGGCAGGTAGCCCTTCTGGCCTTGAGCTAAGCTGCAAATAATTTGTTTAAAAATGGCTTCCCTTTACGGGTCGAAAACGGTCATGATTCTTCCGGTGGTTCCCCTAAGCTGGTCTGGGAAAACCTACTGATAAATTCTGACAGCCGGATATCTTCCGTCGTGGAATCGAAATCTGGCTTGAAAGTGTTAACTGAAAACATGTTGCTCCTGGTGGGTTTGAACCGAACTAGATTTGATCTGAACTAGTTCTCGAACCCATCTGAAATTGGTTCTGAGATCTGTAGTTATGTAAAGTCGGTTGAGGTGTAGCTTCTTACTGCTGAGTTACACCATCATTCTTTAAAGGTGCTTGCAAGTCGAGTAACCTTCATCCTGAAGTCGAAGCTTGCCTCTGAAAGCTGCAAAATTATGTATGCTAAAATGATAAATGTGATGCACCTAAGTATGTCTAAGATGCATGCAACATGAATAAATTATGTGTTATTTCTTGGACGGAGTCTCGTGCTTTGCCTGCCAATCTGGTCCATGGAATCGATCGTGCCCCATTTGCTTCTCGAGCTTGGGCTTTACATACATTTCGTATCTGAGATTGTTCTGTTTGAAAACGTTTTTCTCCTTTTTCTTGTTTCAGGAGAGATAAATGATAAAAATGTTGTAAAGTATTGTTCGCAATTGAATCAAATTGTAAATGTGAGTTCAAAAAAATATCATAGGAATCAAGAGC